GGTCTCTCAAGTACCCAGGTCCAGTACCATGAAAGGCTTTGTAGGTGATAAGTAGCACCTTGAATCGCACCTGGAGATCAACAGGCATAAATGCCATATGTTGCCTGTCATGGTGGGTGTGGCTTGGAAATCAGGAAAGGTATTTACTTTTGTCCAAAGTTCCCAAATTGGCTTTAGCATAGCAGGACCAGATGTTTTGCTAAGTGGTTGTAAATGCAGTGGAGTTTCTTAATGCTATATTTATAACATTATCATTCCTGGCAGCCTTTAATCTTGGAGTTTTGCAGCCTTTTCCCAAACAAATATTTTCACAAAAGTACAAAAAAAAAAGCCACAGGGGTACAAGACACAAACTATATGAAACCATTGTGTCAAGGTTTTGTTCAAATTGAAACCTACTTCCAATCAAGTAATCTACATAAGTGGCCTTTAAGATGATACATGTTTTGCACAGTACTTGGTAAATCCAGGGTTAATTCTTGCTTTCTGTTTAGTTATCTGGGAGTCCACAAATCTTGGGATTATTACAGAATGACATATTCTGTGTTGAACCAAAAAAATGCTATATATCTTTCAACAGCCACTAATTAGAGTATTGGGGTTGACAACAGTCTTCAACAAAAGGCTGCCTGTGACTTGTAGGACAGAAAACTAGGGTTATTGCACTGATTGAGACTGCATATTTGAAGTATGCTAGTGTAATAGAGGATTTATAATCTGAATACATTTATCTAAATGCTACTATGGTTCTGACTACTCACTTTTATCACACCCTAAACAAAGGATTTTTTTCCCCACTTGGGAATATTTTTGATGGTGGAAAGATTTGACAGTTCATATATTTATTGATTTATTAATTTAAACATGGCTCCGGATTACCATTGAGTGGTGAAATGATTCAATTGAGAAAGCTGTTTTACTTGGAATTTTGCAACGCATCATATGTTCTTCTTAGAAGTCACCAGAAATGTGACTAGTTTGGTACAGTTTATGTTATAAATAACCACCATGAAAGCCAAAGAGCTATTTCCAGCTGTAATAATCAGTAAACATTCCCATGTTTTGAAGAAAGGTTTAAGGAGCTATGAATCAAAATATGATGTTTATTTATTTCTTTATGAAAATTTCTAAGGCTGCCTACTCACTCTCAGTGACTCTGGCCATTTAGAAAAATATACAAATCATAAAAAGCAATGACCCCTCACCATTATCCTGATAAAGATGATTTTTAGTACATTGTTAATATAATCTATTACTAAAATTGCTTTGAAAAGAAAGGCATGTATAACATAAATTATACCAATAAAGGAGAATATTTGTAGCTTAAGGTTGAAATGAAGACCACCAAGGATCCCTTAGAACGTAAATCATTTGGGAAACGGAAATTATGTTTGGTGGTTAAACAAGGTCCAATTTTTTTAAAAAAGAAAATAAATATAATGTGAATTACAAAATTTACAAAATTGTTAGCCATTTCTAAGATGGGACTGATCTCCATACCTTGACACAACTTGCAGATAGCTACTCCTGCTCTCATTACTTCAAGGTTGAATTGTTGCAACGTAGTTCTATTTGGGGCTGCCTTGAAGACTATCCAGAAACTTTATCTGATATAGCAGATTGCTTGCACTTGAAAGACATTTCAGCAGGGGTGAAATTCGACCGGTTCTATCCCATTTGGGCGAACCAGTAGCGGATCTAGCAGGAGGCTCCGCCCACCCACGTGAATGTCATCACGTCCTGTTTTTGATGCTCTGCGCATGTACAAAAGGTCCTGCGCATGCATGTTGGTGGCGCATGCGAGCGTGCGAGCGCTCACATTTGTGAACCAGTAGCAAAAGTAAGTTGATTTCACCCCTGCATTTCAGTCATGCAACTTGTTTTATAGGTTCAGTCCTGCATTTGCTTACCAGTAGTTTCCCAAAGTGTTAACATGGATATCCCTGTATGGTTTGGCTCCTGGTTACTTTTTGGGCCATCTTCTCCAAAAAGACTCTGCTCACCTTATGTTTTCAAATTAAAAGGAGGTGTTTGAGAAGTAAGGGGTGATAGGAGCCCCCCAAAAGGCCTTCTTAGTACCGTGTTTCCCTGAAAATAAGACAGGGTTTTATTTTCTTTTGACCTCCGAAATAAGCTTTTGGCATTATTTTTGAGGTGCATGAGGTGGTGAGCATGGTCACCTCATGCCTGCTGCTGTATTGCAATATTTTCATGGAGGGCTTAGTTTCGTCCATACGCTCAAAAGCCTGATTGGGCTTATTATCTGGGGAGGCCTTATTTTCAGGGAAACTGGGTATCTTCCTGGAGAATGCTTGCCGGCAAAGATCTGAACATGACTTTTGAAAAGGATGGTGAAGTTCTACTGGACATTTGGCATCTAAACTATACTTTGTTGGGTGAACTTCCTGTTGAATTCTTGCTGCATTTTAATGTTCAGACTATTTTTAATTAGAATCTTTTTGAAATTTTAAAGTTGGAGGTTTTTATATTTAGAATTTATTGAAATTAAGTTTTGTTATTTTTATGTAAATTGCAAACTGTCCAAAGACTTATGAATGTGAATGCGACATAAATTTTGTAGTAAATAAATTCTTATCCTTAGGATATTTAGATGGCTTATTTCTTCCTACTCTTTGTGTCAATGGAAAAAAATATCAAGACTCTTTCAGCAAGCGTTTCTATCACACTGTTTTTTTATTGTGAGAATTGTTGGTTTTAAGGTATTCAACATAATTTTAGTACAATAAATCTACCAATAATATGTTGTTGCTGCTAAATGTGCATTATTTGTTTCCAAGCAGTTTCTTTGACCTCTGAAGCAGAGCAATATACACATTTATTTATTTCTCTTCTGAGGGAACAATTTTAAAATGGAAAATAATGGCAAAATGATTACAGTGATTTTATTTACTCAGTGAAAATTAGATTTCCTGTGCTGCTGTAGACACTCATCTTCTTTTTCTACCCCCCCAAAAGCTGGAAGAATAATCTTTCCCCAAGAAATTTCGAAAATAACTCTTGGTATTGTAGGAGATAAGTTTGTATTCTATAGGACAGTGGTTCCCAAACTTGGCAACTTTAAGACTTGTGGACTGGAGAATGATGGGAGTTGAAGTCCACAAGTCTTAAAGTTGCCAAGTTTGGGAACCACTGCTATAGGAGACAAAGACTCCTATGTTTGATTCCTTCTGAGACAAGGGTGTCAAATTGGTGGCCCGAGGACCTTATGTATCATGCACAGGCCACGTCAACCCCAGCTCTGTGAATGGGAAAAACTTCACGAAATGTCATGTGATGGCAATATGACGCAGCAAGTTTGACACCTGTGTTCTAAGACATTAAAACCAGACATATTTTCCTTTGCAGAGTACCCAACCTGTGATCAGCTGACTTGTTCTAACGGAGCCTGTTTTAATTCAAGTCAACGCTGTGATGGCAAAGTGGATTGCAGGGATGCTTCTGACGAAGCTAACTGCAGTAAGTATTCAAGAGCACTCGATGCGCCTGGCTTTAGTAAGCTTAATGCTATCTGGAATTGTCCAAGCCATGTTCATCCTTTATTCTTTTTTTATGTTTTCCCCCAGCCCGTGGATGCTCCAGTTCTCAGTTTCAGTGTAACAATGGGGATTGTATCCCCCGAGCCTTTATTTGTGACCATGATGATGACTGTGGCGACAGGAGCGATGAAAATTCTTGCAGTATGTTGGTTTTCCCTATGTGGCTCCTTTTCTCTCTGTTGCGGTCCAGTAATATTTGTCCTTCAGAATAGTAAGAGCTTTTTACCTCAGGATTGGCACTTCCTGTCTGGATTTGTGGTATATTCTGGTCTCAGTTGTACTGTATTTTCATTGCATGTGCTTACGTTTAGTGCTGAGGGAGTGGTTTAAAAGGACTCTGAGTCATTGGTCTTTGATGTTGTCTTCCTCAGCATATGCAACTTGCAAAGGGAATTTCTACACCTGCCCAAGCGGTCGCTGTATACATCAGAGTTGGATTTGTGATGGGGATGATGACTGCGAAGACAATGCAGATGAAGTTGGATGCGGTAAGTGGGAATGTAACTTAGCATTAGTGGTCCCATGTGGGAAAGTTTTTTCTCTTACTCTTCTTCCTGATGCATACAGGAGATCAGTGGCCAAAAACCTTGTGTTTCTTTTAAAATATGCCATTGTGTTCTTTGAAATCACTTCAGCAACCTGGGGATTATTTGCACCCATTTTGAGATATAGATCAGTATAGTAGGATAGATTAGAATACAGGTAGTCCTCGACTTATGACATCAATTGAGCTCAAGGTTTCTTTGCCTAAGTGAGACATCTATCAAGTGAGTTTTGCCCCATTTTATCACTTTTCTTGCCACAGTTGTCAAGTGAATTGCTGCAGTGGTTAAGTTAGTCACATGGTTGTTAAGTGAATCTGGCTTCCCCATTGCCTTTGCTTGTCAGAAAGCAAAAGGGGACCACATGATCCCAGGACACTGCAACCATTATAAATATGAGTCAGTTGCCAAGTGCCTCAAATTTGATCATGTGGCCACAGGGATGCTGCAATGGTCCTAAGTTCGAAAAATGGTCACCAGCAGTGGTGGGTTGCAGACGGTATGCACCAGTATGGGTGTACCGGAACCTGCCAGGAGCCCCAGTACCGTTCCAGTACGGTCCTCTGGATGGCCTACCCGCCCGCCCGAGCTCCTTACCTGTCCTTAAAGCCTTTGGAGCTTTCGTGCATGCACATGGCATGTACGGCACCTGCGCAATGCTCCGCCGAGCAGCTGGTGCTTCGCAGAGGCTTGCGGAAGCATCGCAGGCACGTACAACGCATGCACATGCCACGCACATCCATGTGGGTGACGCCGGGGCTGTTCCAACCGTACCCACCATTGGTCACCAGCCGCTTTTTTCAGTTGTAACTTTGAACAGTCACTAAAAAAAATGTTGTAAGTTGAGGACTACTTGTATTCAGCGCTGTTTGTTATTAAGAATGAAGTTTGCAAAATAGGTACCAGAGGTTCCCATGTTCAAGAGGACTATTATGTCACACAGTTGCCTCCCATTTCCTTGAAGAGTGACAAAATATTAATTGGCTTGGAAAGATGGAAACAAGGAGCCTGGGTTTTACACTCTAGCAAGCAAACGAATGAATACTTGATAACTGGAACTCCAGCAAGCAAATCTGTCACACATGGCTTCATTTGAGTCTGTAACACTCATTGTATCTGAGGCAAGTCTATAAGTCAGTTTCTGAATAAGGGCTTAGGGTCTGGAGGGCTGAGACTTCTAGCTATGCCTGAGGGAAGCCTGCCTTTTAGCAATCCTGTGCTGTATAATTTGCTTTTGGGATACAAACCATCATATGTAAAGATAGATTAATATACATTAATTTAGACTTACATGGTTTGGGACAAAATTCTCTGCCTCAGTAATGCTTGATCTTACAATAAAAATATTTTTTTGTATGGAAATCAAGAAATCTTGACATATTTCTCCCTTCTGGAATCTCCAAACTTGGTAACTTTAAGACTTGTGGACTTCAATTGCCAGAATTCCTCAGCCAGCCATGCAGGTTGGTGAATTCTGGGAGTTGAAGTCCACAAGTCTCAAAGTTGCTAAGTTTGGAAACTTCTGTTCTACTTGATTGCGCCATTGGCCTTAATGAAGCACATAATTCTTAATTCCAATTTTTCATTGGCCAATAGTAGCCTTACAGAAATTACTGAAACTGTTGAAAATATCATCTTTGAATTTGTTTGAATCCACACATTAATAATAATATTTTAATTCAGCCCGTATTCTTATGCTTCAGTATTGTAGATTGAAGAGATTTGCTTAAGATGTGATATGCAAATTCATTCATGTCCAACTACTACATCATATAGAGATGTCTTCTGGGGACAACTGGAAATAATAAAGCTTCTCTGGTTTTCTTATATAATTTGAGAAAAATAGAAAGCTGTGTTGTAGTATCTACCTTGGTTGTGCTTTAGCTAGAAAAAGTCAGCAAACATTACTAAAATCCTGCAACATGGAATGTTTGAGCCGCGGTGGCGCAGTGGTTAGAGTGCAGTACTGCAGGTTACTTCTGTTGATTACCAGCGGCCTGCAGTTTGGCAGATCGAATCTCACCAGGCTCAAGGTTGACGCATCCTTCCCAGGTCAATAAAATGAGGACCCAGATTGTTTGGGGAAATATGCTGATTATGTAAACCACTTAGAGAGGGCTGTAAAGCACTATGAAGGGATATATACTGTGTAAGGGCTATTGCTATTGCTAATGTACTGTTTTTTTTCTTTTGCACCTAGAGAGTGGCCACCGAGATTGTTATCCAGGTGAATGGGCCTGCCCTGTATCAGGGCAGTGCATTCCCATTGACAAAGTTTGTGATGGGACTCCAGATTGCTCTGCTGGGGAAGATGAGACAAATGCAACAGCTGGCAGACATTGCAGTGAGTAATGGACAAGCAAGTTTTGTCGGGCACTAAAATGTTCGTAGAGGTAACTCAGAAATATCTCTGACACCTTAGCATTAAAAATAGGAAAGGTGTCACCAATTGCAATGTAATATTTGACTGACATCCATAGTTTCAACAATGGCCAAGACATTGTTCTGATTCTGAAGTGCTCCTTCCTCACAATTTTTTGTTGGTTCAGAGTGCTTCAAGTTTGGGCAAACTCCAAATAATGTAATATGACCTTAAGGTGAGCACTTCTGTGAAGCCACACTCCCAAATAGTGCACATCACTATTGATGTACTTGAAATAGCTGTGACTGCAATTGCTGGTTAAGCTGCATTGGGATTCCCATGGTAAAAATAGCTTGATTTTCCAGGTGACATTTTGGATTTGGATACGCCAACTTTCCACAATCTAGTCATCCATGGATGTGTTAGAACTGCAACCTTTAGAGTTCAAAAGACCAATGTTGTTGGGAAATTCTGGTAATCACGATCCCCAAATTTCCAGAAAGCTATATTTAGTGACATTGTATATGCAGTGATCTCCCCCATTTTCTAGATTCATTTTGTTCATGTAATCTATATTTAAGTTTTTTTCAACAATATATCATTGTAATTCTATTTCTGGGCCAATGCAATTAATTAATTAATGTTATTCTTTAATTGGCTTTTGTTTCTGATAGATATATCTCAGTGTGCAACTTTAAGCTGCCAATATCGTTGTCACTCATCCCCCACGGGGGGAACATGCTATTGTCCTGCAGGATACGTCATCAGCAACAATGACAGTCGCACTTGTATAGGTAAGAGATGAAGGTAGAGATCCATGCACAATCAGTCATTATATTTCCCCTTCAATGTGCCACGAACTCTCAAGGGAAGAGTCAGTGTGACAAAATTGTTTGGTTGTAGAGTTGACAAAAACAGAATTCAGATTTCTACTTAGTTATTGAAGCTCAGCAGTGATTAGGGCCAACATAATCTCTTGACTTGACCCAGTTCATAGGGTTGGGGTGGAGGCATAGATTTGAGAAGAAAGTACTAAGGACCGAAGCCTATCTTGAACTTTTTGGAAAGAGATGGGATGTGAATGCAACTGATCAATAAAAATACCTTCAAGGATTTTGAATCCTGCAGCATCAGGTGGAACAGAATACTGTATTTTTTGGAGTATAAGATGCACCAAGATTTTGAAGAGGTAAATTTTTAAAAAAGTTTTTGCACCCTGCAGACTTCCCCCAAACGGCCCATTTTTTGCAAAAATGAGCTTATTTTTTGTCAAAAAAAGGGCATGCATAGCTTTTAGGAGGCTTGTAGAGTGCTCCTGAGGGCTGGGGGGGGGGATGATATTTGCCCTCCCCAGTCCCCTGGAGCACTTTGTAGGTCTCCCAAGCTCTCTGCACATCCACATTTGTGAAGGGGATGGAGTTGTGGGACACCAAAAATGCTGCATTCAGTGTATAAAATGCATCCAGATTTTCACTCTCTTTTTTGGGGGGGGGAATTTTGGGTGCATCTTATACTCCGAAAAATACAGTACCTATCAGGTGTGCTATATTCGGCTTGACAAATAGCACTTTATGCACAAATCAAATATTTTAGTTTGGCTTATTTGTATGAATTGTCAGTGAACAAACAAACAAATAGTAATTGCTACCCATTCAGTTTTTGGGGAGTTCAGTCGCCTGTAGAAACAGAGATTCAAGGAACTGTGTGATTCAAATTGAGGGAAAAATGTGCATTGGCATTTTCGGCCAAATATTCTTTTAAGAAAACTGCTTAACCTTGCTCCTCAAAATATGACAGTTTTCTTTTTTTCTTTTGTGTTCAAACTAAAATTTAAATATGTGGGCTTGCTGTGAATAATGCACAAATGTATCAAGCAAATACTGTAGCACTGGGGCCTTTTTAAAGCTAAAAACTAGCACAGTAAAGACATATAATCCCTTCCCTTTATTAGGTCACTCCTTGACCTAATTCTCATTGAGGTAATAAATCTATGTATCTTCTGACCTGCAGGTGCATGAATTCTCTTGCCTGTAAGACATTTTCTTTACACAGAACACCAGATTGTAAAGACAAAGGCTGTCATTTAGGCTTATGCCTGAAATATTGATTTACTTGATAACTGGGTATATATGCAGAAGAAGATTTAATACCTTCTGAACGGCTCCAGGCCCAGTCATTGCTAAGAATTAGACCTTTATTGTTGGCCCATTTTTTGTGCTGCCTTATCAGACAATATCTGCAAAGCCATATACCTTAGAGTAATCCAGTTTCAGCTTTTTTTTTAAAGTGGAGAAGATTAAGCTTTTAATTCTAAAAGGGAGCTAAATTAGTGCTACTAATCTGATGCCTATTGATGCTCATAAATCTCACAGCATGATGGGAGAATGAAGCTTTCTGGGTTCATTCAGTTGATCTGATCTATTTGTTGATAAATTATTTTCCTGATTATTAGAAATACTTGTATAAATAAAAATATTAGATTGAATTGAATTGAATTGAATTTATTAGATTTATAGGCCGCCCAATCCCAGAGGATGGTTTCCTTCAGATAAGTTAAATGTTAATGAGTCTATTGGCTTAATTTTCTTTTAAGATTTTGTTAAAACTACTCCACATCTCCTACTTACCGTATTTTTCAGAGTATAAGACGCACTGAAGTAGAAGATGCACCAAGGTTTTGAAGAGGCAAATTTTTTAAAAAAGTTTTTACACTCTGCAAACCTCCCAAAAAGGGCATGAATAGCCTTTAGGAGGCTTGTAGAGTGCTCCTGGGGGGTGGGGCAAAAAATGAGCCATTGTTCACGAAAACGGGCCTATTTTTTGTCAAAAAAGGGCATAGATAGTCTTTAGGAGGNAGTATGATTTAAAGAAACAGGTATAGCATTATTACATGCTTTATATATTGCCAACCCAACCATTAGATTATATTCCTAACAGATGTGTCTGTGTGTAAATAAAAAAAAATGTAAGCACAATGTTTCTTGCAGCTGGGCGAACATGCTCCAGTGAGCAGTTTACTTGTTCCAATGGACAGTGCATCCCAAGGGGCTACAGGTGTGACCATGTCAGCGACTGCACAGATGGAACAGATGAAAGAAGCTGCCGTGAGTGCTTTTAAATCTTTCACAGTAGATTTGGTTTCAGCCCTTCTCTCGTTGGCTTGTTAATCAATTTGTAAGATTAAGAATTTGTTGACGGACAGAAATGAACACAATATTCTTCTTGTTATCAACATTTCAGCACAGATTCTTTCATGGATTACTGAGGATGTGCTCATAACAGTGACATTGTTCTGAGGTTTAATAAACTGTACTGTTGCTGGACTAAGGCTAGGGAGAATCTCTCTCTTTTTCCTGATGTTAAAAGACCAGAACTCCACATTACATAAGCATAAGGGTGAGGGTTAAGACATTAAAATATACTGGGTTGGGCTTTGGGAGCTAGAGAAATGATGATGATCATTTATTGTATGCATATATGCCTGGCAGAAATTAAAATTGAATACAATGATATTCTGTTTAGACTATCTTTGGTTACTATGGATTGGAATGAGGTGTCCAAAAAAATGAAACTTTGGATTTCTGATCCAGTAAGGAAATTGACAGGGGAAAAAAACATTTCTCAAAGAAGGAAAAACAAAAGAAGGGATAATGGATGTTCAGGATGCATCAGAGGGCCTTCGTACAGCAGGCCCTGTTTGAGCTGCAGAACAGATGGATGAAGGAGAAAGAGGTTTATTAACTCAGGGAAAGTAAGAGAATACAAGGCCCTCTTGTCTTCATCACTACAGGTACTGAAGATGCCCAGATGGGGCACAGTGTTCAGGCTTTTTAATCACAATTTAAAAATGGGATAATCACCTGGGTTGTCTAGACATCCTTGAATATTAGTTTTGTCTTGAAACAGCTCAGAAGAAACCTACAGTTCAGATGGTTCAGAATCAGACAAATATAATTAGACTTGAGGTAATACAGACTTAATAACACCTGGGGAAATTAAGCTCCGTGAAGGCACTGCAAAATAGAATTTGGATAGAATAAAAGAGCTTGGAACTATTTATTCCTTGGGCTTTTTCCAAAGAAAATAACGCAGATGGAGAAGGACAGGAGAATTAGAGGATGTAGGCAAGGCAAGGAAAAATATGGCACCACCATCTTGTTTTTCAGTTCTATTCAAATTTAATTGCACTGTGCATGCGCCCACAGCATGCATCAAGCGTGTGTGCGCATGTGAAGTGCCGGAACCCACCTCTGGAACAAATATACTCTTTCATGTTAACCAGTATATAGTAACTGAAGGTTTCCAGCTTTAAATATTAGCATCTTAGAGGTGTAACTAGGGTAGGATAGAAATGTTAAACAGAGAAGCATAAACATTATAGCAGTCAGTTTCTGCCTTTTTGCATTCCTGCAAACTCTGATATGATTAATATTCATGCGCGCTGATGGTTCATTTCCAGCAAAGATAAGTAAGGATTGCTTGTTAGAAATGAAAGTTGGCTTGTGAGCCATAATGTGGTCTTCACTCGGGAAGTGAATTTATGGATCTGAATCCATAAATCAACTGATTCATAAATTAGTTGGGTAAGACATGAGATGGTTCCAGGCAAAGAGAGCAAGAGAAGAGCGTGAGCAGAGTTCTAAAGTTGGGAAGAGAAAACCTAGTGAAGGTCTTAAAGAACATGCTAAGTGGAATAAAAAAACATCCTGACCATCAAGTAGTTTGTCCATATTGAGCCCAACAGTCTCGAGAGCTAGTGACTCGTTGCCCTAACCTAATTGGGGAGTTTAAAAGTACCATTATTCTAAGTTGTACAAAGGATAGAATAGTCATTTCTCGGCTACATGACTGAATTAAACCTATATATTTAAGCCTTTCCAAACTATGATTCTGAAAGATATCCAGGTAGAGTTATATGGAACAAAATAATTACAAAAAGCTGACAATCAGTTGGCTGATCTGTTTTGGAATGAGATCACATTAGAGCTGAAATGCATTTCTAATAAAAGAAATGTAGCTCAGGGGTGTCAAACTTGCAGCCCGCGAACCAGATGTGTCATGCACTGGCTACATACACTCCACATCCAATTTAACAAAGGGTGAAAAAAAGTCATGGTATGTCATGTAACAATGATGTGATGACGTGAGTTTGATCCCCTTGATGTAGATTGATTCAATGTAATGATTTTTTTTTCATTTTCCCTTTATTTGTATGCCGCCCTTTTCCCTGGGGGGACTCAGGGCGGCTCACAGTTCAAAAAGGGGGGGGGGGAAGACAAACAATTTCTAACATAAAGACAATACATCATTATTAAAAACACAACAGTCATCACATCATTG